TCTCTCTCTCTCTCAATTCCAGCCCCCACCCCTCTCCGCTAGTTTTCTGATCTTCTCTCAATTCCTACTGCCTTTTCCTTGTGACTTTCTGCTGCCTTTCTCTGCTTTTCCGCTGCCCCTGCTGCCTCTCAGTCTCTTCTGCCACTTTTCCTGTAATTTTCTGCTGTCCCCCTGCCTCCCATACTCCTACTGCCTTTTCCCTGTGACTTTCTGCTGCCTTTGTCTGCTTTCCTGCTGCCCCTGTCGACTTTCAGTCTCTCCTGCTACTTTTTCTATGATTTTCTGCTGTCTGTCTCTGTTTTCAGGCTTCCCTCGCCCCCCAGTAGCTTCCCAGACTTCTCTAGCTGCCCTGGAGCCGTTCTCTGGCTCCCCCACACCCAGAGCCCCTCTTTAACACCCACACTTTCCCTTAGTCCCATTTTCCCTGTCCCCATCTACCTTTTCAGTTTCCCTGTAGCTCTGGCTCCAGACCCAGCCTCTGTGCCAGCATGCTTCCCTGTTCTGCAGGCTTTGGGCCTTGTCTTTTAATCAATTAACCTAAAGTTACTCCCCAGCCTCAGTTCTTCAGCCCAGGCCCCTCTAGTCTACTGGTTCTAATCCCGATCCCAGTGACTTTAACTCCCTACACTTCTACTTTCTTACTGTAACCTTTTCCCACGTATCCCAAGTACACCAAGCACATGCATACATACACATCACAACACCCAACTTAGGAACTCACCTGTGTGTATGTGTAGGTGGGTGGTATGTGTGTAAATTAGTGAATACACACACACACACACACACATATATATATATATATCAGTGTGTGGGGTATATAAATTAGTAATCCACATATGTGTATTGGATGTGCAGGTGTTGGCAACTGGTAACTGATTCTGTTTAAATGTGGTGTGTGTAGCGTGTATGGGCTTAAACTGGTGATAAGTGTGCATGAACCTAGACTGGTTAATTTGAACGTGTGTGTATCTGAGTTGCTAGTGTGAGTGTGTGTGTATATATACATATATATGGCATCGTGTGCATGATATACGAATTAGTGATCTGTGTCTAACTTTTGGGATGTATAGTGTAGGTGCTTGAATTGGTGATAAGTACGCATATGCGTAAGCTGGTTTGGATGTGTATGTGCCTGAGCTGGTAGTGTGCGTGTGCACACACCTAATTGATTTATGTTTTGTACATATGCAATTGTGTCACACCCTCCTATCTAACAGCGCAATATTGAGGTCCTGAGAGTTGGCCTGATCCCCCCAGGGCAACAGCTGTGCCAGGCGGGGCTGATGGGCAGCAGGAGCGCATATGCGTAAGCTGGTTTGGATGTGTATGTGCCTGAGCTGGTAGTGTGCGTGTGCACACACCTAATTGATTTATGTTTTGTACATATGCAATTGTGTCACACCCTCCTATCTAACAGCGCAATATTGAGGTCCTGAGAGTTGGCCTGATCCCCCCAGGGCAACAGCTGTGCCAGGCGGGGCTGATGGGCAGCAGGAGTTGGTTTTGGCCATGCATGGGGGCAGGACTCGCCTGACACCTTCAGGGAGCTTGGGGTGGTGGGGACTCACCTGAAACCTTCAGGGAGCAGGGGACATGGCCAAGTGATCGGCCCAACTCCCAGCTGCAGGGAAGCCTGCGGTAGGGGCTTTACTCTTCTGCATGACCCGGGAGCCAGGCCAATCACCCAGCCATGTCCACTGCTCAGCTGGCAGGCCAGCTGAGAGGGGAGCAGAGAGGAAAAACGGTCCCTGCTGTGGGCTTCCCAACCCCTGTGTCAGGCACAGCATGGCTGGGATCCCAAGCTGGGAGCTGGGCAGAGATGAAGCACCTGTCACCCGCTGCCTGCTTGCAGTGGCGCTGGGTGCTATAGGCATGCTGCTGTGGCTCATGGCCGTGGGCAGCAGTGAGGGGAGGCAATGGACCACCATAGCCTGGCCCAGGGGTATAGGCAGTGATTGGCCCGCAGCAGCCTGCCCTGAGTGCCTGGTGCCACCACGAGCAGGCAGTGGGTGACAGGTGCCTCACTTCTGCCTGCTGTGATATTTCGCTCCGCCACTGCCACTAGGAGAGGAAGGAGGCAGGGAGCCACGCTCCACCCCACCTGCAAACGGGGATCCAGCGTGCGGGGCTGGAGGCGCAAGGCGGCAGGTGCTGATCCCCCATGCTACCACAGCAGGAGGTAGTGGTGAGTTGGGTTCACATCCTCCCTTCCTGGCCCCTCCCTATGGCCAGATGGCTGCTCCTCAGAGGGACCTGGCCCAGGACATGTGTCAGTGACCACATTGCTGCTGCCTGCAATGGGGGGATTAAAACACCCCCCTTCCCCTTGGGCTACTGGTGTCTGGCCCTTGTGGCCCCGGGTGCACAGGCCCTAGTGCATGAGGGGAGCCTGTCAATGTCCGTGCCACCCACCCCTGCAATGGGGGGGATTAAACCCCCGCTTCCCCTCAGGCTACCAAGGTCTGGCCCCCACCCCTGCTCCTATCACCAGCCAGTGAGCGAGCAGGGGTGGTGGGGCTCAGGACTCCTGACAGGGGCTGCTTCCCCCCTCACCTTCCAGGCAGGATTTAAAACCCACCCCAGTCACAGTCAGGATCATCTGGGCCTGTCTACGCCCCTTCTCTCAGCTTAGTTTCGCTTGCTCTAGCATCCCCTGGCTTCTAGTCCGGGCCACTGCAGGCATGTACCTGCATTTCTGGAGTCCACTTGCAAATATCTGTCCATTTGCACATCGGTTCAATCTACACAGGTTAGATTAACCCGTAAAAGGTTGAATCAATTCAGGCTCCGGCTTTTTGAATGTCTGTCCCTAGCCATGATGTTCATGAGTTGGGGCAACTAATGTAACATACTGATCGCAGTATGTTATCCTAGCAATGGAGATTATTTCTAAGCATTCTCTATAGTACATAAATGTTACTCGAAAGAACTGTCTTTGATTTTTTTTGTTAAAACATGGCATAAAAACACAGTTGCAACAACTCTGCTATGTGTTTAAATTTTACTTGTGCTAAATCATTATTATTAATAAAATATTTTTTACAGGTTATTTTTTTTTTGAAAAATGTAGAAATTGAAAACAGTGTATATTCTTAGAGTAAGTAACAGAGTATCATATAGAACTTCAAGTGTTCAAGACCAGAATAAACTGCTACTAAAGCATAGTCCAAAAGGGGCTATATAAAAAGTTGAATAAGCTTGCTTTGTGACTACACTTCAGTGGAAATATTCATGTGCTTAACTTTGAAACTTAGGCTTAATGTTTTGTGGAAGGAGGCCACAGTATTTGGCCACAGAATTCATAAAGGATTAAACCTTTTAAGTTTGTAGACTAGGCTCCTTAGGCATTTTCATAATTTAGTGTAAAATATTAAAGAGCGAGGTGAAAAATAAGGGCATGCTTGCAGTTTAGTTGTAGAGTGGGAAGGCTGTCAGTTTAAACACATCAAAACAAACTTCCATTAGGAATAGTCTAGGCTTATTAAAACTGAATGCTTTTTAATATCTAATTTTTGTGTTTCTGTACTTTTGCTTTTTTTTTCCTAAGCAGAGAGAAATACACAATAAAATTAAAGGCTGATTGCTAAACAAGTACACTTTTAGGTCTGCATATAAGTGCAAAGTGGTGAAACTTATGTTGCACTTATGAACACTGGAGATAAAAGTTTACTTAAAAAACAAACAAACAAAAAACAGCTTTCATTGGAACAAAACAGATAATGTGAACATTCCTATTGGTATTTTCCATAATACATATACACACACACACACACACACACACACATATATATACATACACACACACACACACACATATATACACATACACACATACACACATACATACACACATACA